TCTCCCACTCTGGGAGTCAGTGACAGCCCATAGAACCGCTTGCGGGCAAGTTATTAAATTTGGCACAGGACAGTCTGAACTCTCACCATAGCAAATTTGGAGTCTATAACTCAAACCCTTTAATGCCACCAACAGCTCAAAGTTGAACTTATGTTTATACTAATAATTTTTTAACCGTAGGGGCTAGAAACAAAATTTATGTTGATAGGCAAAAATTTCTTGTTGACTGGCAAAATGATTTTTGTTTACCACATTAACAAATTTGATGGCATGGTGTCAAACTGCATCTGAGGCTGTATCTCTGCAAAGCTTTGACATATTGACACCAAACTTTATGTGTTGTTGTCGCCTTATACTGACCACACCACATTAATTTGATAATAGTGCCACCTCTATTGTTCAAATTTAGTATTTCATGTTACATGGAGCCTCAGGGTGTGTTGTAGTGTTTTGCTTGGTCAAAGGAAGATGAGAAGAACCTTAGACCACCATATACATACAACCTCCTCACTTAAGAAAAACAATTAACAACTGCTGTTAGATGAATGATCGTCACTGCTGTGAAAAGCTCCTTGTGAATACTTTAGGGTTTTTCACACTGCTCCTAACCCTGGTAGTCGTCGTTCTAAACCCCGCTTTTAACCCAGAGTAAAGGTACATTTCACACAATTTAGAAGCGGGTTCACACCACTTTATACCCGGGGTTATGAAACCCTGCTCCAGAGCAGGAAGCACTGCTTTTTGTGGTGTCAAACTAGTACGATTTAATATTAGAATGTCACGGTTAGACGCTTGGCAACAGATAAACAATTGACCCTTTGCCGGGAGTCTGATTGACAAACAAACCAGTAGATTAATGTCGGTGGACTTGAACTTGAAAAATGGTGTGTATTGACATCTTTCTGTGGTTGAAAGAAGATAACTTCTGATGTTCATTCATGTTTATTTCGTGCTATAACTAGTAAAGAGGTCTCTTGAACTGAGGCGCTACAGCAATCTGTCATGACACAAAACAGTATTTATTGTTTGAATTTCTTAAAAAATGACAATTTGAAAGCTGAGACATTGTTTCATACCAAAAGTAACCAGAGGTAGGTAGTAATGAAGTACATTTACTCTAATACATCTAATTAATTTTAAAGCAATACATGTCAAGAAAGGTGTAATTTATTCCAAGCGTGCTGCCTCAAGCCTGGGGCATGAGCGATGATGCCCCATTCATGAATGAATCACTCTATTGAATCATCTGAAGCTGTTTCTCATTCATAACGGTAAATTTAAGAACACAGAGAACAAAAAGAGCTTTGGATGAATTGGCCATTAACCTACCATCAACGGAAACCAAATCTGCAAATTCTACTCTTTGCCTGCGATGAAGATTAGTTACATTTAGTCATTTAGCAGATGCTTTTATCCAGTGACTTATAAATGAGGACAATTGAAGCAATCAAAAGAGCAATAATATGTAAGTGCTGTGACAAGTCTCGGTTAGTCTAAAGCGGTACATGTAGCAACGTTTTTTTAATAATAAATAAATAAAGTAAAAAGAATAGAGAACGCTAGTGGTTAGAGGGTCATTTTTATAGTAAATGAAAAGAAAACAAGTAGCTAGATAGAAAAAGAATAGAGAACACTAGTTTTAGAGGGTCAATTTTCAAAACAAGTAGTTAGTATAGAAATAGAATAGAGAGTGCAAGTGTTAGAGGGTCAAGTGTAGATGGAAGAATGTGTTTTTATCAGTTTCTTGAAGATGGCTAAGGTCTCAGGTGCTCGGATTGAGTTGGGCAGGTCATTCCACCAGGAGGGAACATTTAATGTAAAAATCAGTGAAAGTGATTTTGTGCCTCTTTGGGATGGCACAATAATGCGCCGTTCACTTGCAGAATGCAAGCTTCTAGAGAGTCCAGGCTGGACAGAACAAGAGCTTGATCAAGGAGTTGTGTAGCATGGTTTGAAAAAAGGGCCTGATCTTCCTAAAGTTGTATAAAGCAAATCTGCAGGACCGGACTGTTCTGGCATGTGGTCTGTGTAATTCAGCTGATCATCAATCACAACTCCAAGGTTCCTGGCTGTCCTTGAAGGAGTTATGGTTGATGCACCTAGCTGGATGGAGGAATTGTGATGAAGTGATGGGTTTGCTGAAACCACAAGCAGTTCTGTCTTGGAAAGGTTGAGTTGAAGGTGATGGTCCTTCATACAGCAAGAAATGTCTGTTAGACATGCTGAGATGTGAGCTGCTATCGTCAGATTATCAGGATGCAATGAGAGGTAGAGTCGAGTGTCATAGCAGTGATATGAAAAGCCATGTTTCTGAATGACAGAACCTAGTAATGCCATGTAGAATGTAGACATAGAAGAGAAGTGGTCCAAGAAGTGAGCCCTGAGGCACCCCAGTAGCTAGATATTGTGACTTGGACACCTCACACCTCCAAGATATCTTAAAGGACCTATCTGAGAGATAAGACTCAAACCACTGGAGTGCTGACGCCCTTTGCCAATAGGGTTGACTGGAGGATCTGGTGGTGGAGAGCTTCAACAGCTCACACACATACATATATATATATATATATGTGAGATCCAAAGATGTTGATTGGATTTTTGTAATCTATACTCAAGTTACTATTAGGATTATTAATTTTACTCTTACTTGAGTAATTATTTCTATTAGTACTTTTACTTGTCCAGTTTTTGGATACTCTACCCACATCTGAAAGTAACCTGCTGTCTTGTCTTTCAGTGCATTGTTAGTTTCTCAGCAATGTATTTTTCACTCCATGAAAACATGATGTGTGGCGTGAGAGGGTATGACTTGTTGGACGTAGCAAATATAAATAAGGAGGGCAAGTCTTTTTCGAAGGGTAAATTGACTATATGCACGGTTACTTTCTGGTTTTAGTTAAACCAGGTCAGTAATTTCCGGTCAACTGTCAAAATCAGCTATGTTATCATGCTCCCTGCGACAGGTAAATTGTGTGCCTCATATTCACTTTTTTTTTTCGACAGTCACAGAAAAGCACTGCGTGTTGTATAAATGATCGTTTGAGGGAGAAAATAGCAAATGGTAACTGAAAACGCATCAATTGGAATGAAAATAGACGTTTCATTCTTACCTTTGTAGTCCGAAAAGTTCCTTCAGGAAAACCTTGATAGTACAGTCTGCAATAAAGGATGCGCAATGCCAGAGCCGTTATGTAAACAGGTCACGTGCCCCACTCGTCCAATCAATGACACTGACACTGCAAATATGCAAATAAGAACGTTAACCCCATAGGTTATCTATGGTTAGCCCAAGGTTTAAGAATGTAATGTTAAGCGTCCTTTTATAAAAATTCAGGATTAATTAACCCCCGGGTAAATTATGAGAAGTGTGAAACGTGACCAGGATTCCCTCCTCCCAGGTTTAGAATAATCTAGGGTTAAATATTTCAAATGTAAAATAGTATTGTTTCCAAATGTTTTTCATGTGCCATTTGGTGTGAAAATGTCTTTAGAGAACAGAGTAAAACAACGCATCACCTAAAATCTTAAACGAAGGAATGACATTTCAAGCATTTTTCATATTTAACATTCTGAAACAACACTGAAATAGTCGTAATGTTTCTTCAAGTATAACTTCAAAAATAGCAACACATTACCAGAAGAAAAAGAAGTTGTGCATCAATTAATGATGTAAAATATTTTATTATTTTTTTGTAAATGTAAATTCAATTCCTCAAATACCAAACCCTATATCGCTCTGTGTACTTCAAAAAAGCTTCAGTTTCCAAAACAATTTAGACTACTATACAGAGCAAAAGAAAAGAAAAGAAAAGAAAAAAACACTAGGAAATTGATGTATTTTACAAGACAAGGAAAATATCCATGAAACAATTTTGTTACAGCTGTTCATTGAGAAAAAATATATACAACTGACTCTTTTGAAAAAATTCATGCCCAGTACAATACAAAGTCTAAACTGTCCATTTTCAACGTGAAATTGTGCACACAGAAACTCCCAAATTGAAATAACAAGGCATGTGAAATGTGAAAAACAGTTTTTGGCTACAAAATGAATAGCGCTCTCTTAACAGATGCTTCACTTCAATCAATAAAACTAATACAAGCATATGTTTTTCATATGTACATCATTTTCAGAGTTACGTTGACCCTTCTTTCCCACCGATTCCCGCTCATACCGTCTCCAACAAGCAAGCTTCTCAATCGAACAACTTCTCGTTCTTGCACAACGACATTGCAGGTTTATAAAATCCTTACGACAGCCTTTATAAAAAATGAGCATGATCTACTTGTGCCTGTTCTCAGGTTACGCTTGTGATCTCGGAATCGGTTTGTGAGGTTTAAAGTTCATTTCACAGTTATCCCTACATCTACAATCCCACCTGATTTACTAGATTTTGAATTCCGTGTCGCTGCTATCCGTAACATAAAATGGAATAAAATGAAATGAAAACCAACAAAATGGTCAGCAATAATGTATAAACCACAAAGTCACTACAAATGCCACATCCTAAGCACAGAGAAAATACTTTTCTTGTGAAATCACCTTTGTAATTCTGTACAGTTTCGTAATTATACGTGTACACGTGGTATCATGATGTGTCTTTGTTAAATAATTCCGAAGAGGAAAAGAAAGGAGAAAAAAGCAAAACAAAACAGCACATCTAAAATATCTGAACATCAATATGAATAAGGTAGTGAATAAGGTAGTATTTGGTCAATCATTCCGATATTTCTCTATATTTACACGGTATTTACAGATGTAACAGAATCTCAAACTGCGTGCAAGAATCGCAGTCGGGCTTCCTTTTGATCGGCATAAAACCGCTTTTAAAAATAAGCCCATTCATTCACTCACACAGTAATAAATACAAAACACCTTTATTTTCTTACACTAAACAATGAGAGATATCTAGGATAAAACTGACTCATGGAATCAAGTATTTTGATTTTTTTTTTTTTTTTTGTGAGTTCATTTTGTTTTCTGTTTCTTTTTTGTTTTCTTTTTTTTAGTGCAACATGTTTTTTTCCCTTTGCGGAAGTCAATTCCGTACATTCTCCATTCAGTGATGTTCTACATTGATTTCTACGGTTCAGTCTCTACAGATCTCGTCATACAGATGGGCCTGCCCCTCCATCAACCTATAAGGCAATACCCGGCACAGTGCTCGCGCTCATTCTCCGTCCTCATTCGCTGGTGAAATCTGCCCCCGTGTGACGCACACGCATTCGAGCTGACAAACACAGACACACACAGACTCATGGCACATGCACATAACAGAACCTTTTCCTTTCAAGTCAAGAAATGATACGAATGGCTCTCACACAATGCTGTATTCTCGCGTTGTGTTTTCCTCTTAGTTTTGCACATTAAAAATAATGATCGCCCGTTACGACAACTTCCAGGATTGGCTGTTTCCTCTTTGCACGTCTCCTCTGATAAATTGGCACCTCAGAGTTGTTGGAGTTGTTGTTGGTGTTACTCCTTGTTAGTTTATCCACTTGCGGCAGTTGGCGGCTCCACAGTGACATGGGATCTTGCTCTGATCTGCAACCGGGGTGAGCTTGTAATCGTAGCAGAGCTGCAACAAAATCATTCAGAGGTGGTTCAAATTTCAAACCAGAAGCACTGCACTAGTTCTCATGACAGCAGACACTTCAAAAATCTGCCCTTATTCAGTATTTCGTCATATGATCAAGAAAAGCATTATGCGATGTAGTCGAGAGCACTTTAAAGTGCTTTTTAAAAGGCTGTTTCAGCTGTCTGGATCAGAATGGTGTTGAACAGTCAGAGTATAGTATTTAGGAAGGCCGGTACTGTCATTTAACAGTATTATTAAATTATTGTTTTAAAAATCAACTTGTATACAATTTTTTTCACCAAGAACCACGGTTTCAGCTAAAAATCTTTATTGTTCTATTGTTAATTTTTGGGTGGATTACTCCTTTAAATGAGTCGGCAGTTGGCGGCTCCACAGTGACATGGGATCTTGCTCTGATCTGCAACCGGGGTGAGCTTGTAATCGTAGCAGAGCTGCAACAAAATCATTCAGAGGTGGTTCAAATTTCAAACCAGAAGCACTGCACTAGTTCTCATGACAGCAGACACTTCAAAAATCTGCCCTTATTCAGTATTTCGTCATATGATCAAGAAAAGCATTATGCGATGTAGTCGAGAGCACTTTAAAGTGCTTTTTAAAAGGCTGTTTCAGCTGTCTGGATCAGAATGGTGTTGAACAGTCAGAGTATAGTATTTAGGAAGGCCGGTACTGTCATTTAACAGTATTATTAAATTATTGTTTTAAAAATCAACTTGTATACAATTTTTTTTCACCAAGAACCACGGTTTCAGCTAAAAATCTTTATTGTTCTATTGTTAATTTTTGGGTGGATTACTCCTTTAAATGAGTGCCAGATATATATATCTGGTACGGAAAGTATTCAGACCCCCTTAAATTTTTCACTCTTTGTTATATTGCCGCCATTTGCTAAAATCATTTAAGTCAAAGGGTCTGAATACTTAGGACCATGTGATATTTCAGTTTTTCTTTTTTAATAAATCTGCAAAAATGTCAACAATTCTGTGTTTTTCTGTCAATATGGGGTGCTGTGTGTGCATTAATGAGGAAAAAAAATTAACTTAAATGATTTTAGCAAATGGCTGCAATATAACAAAGAGTGAAAAATTTAAGGGGGTCTGAATACTTTCCGTACCCACTGTATATCTAATATCAGCTGATAAATCCAAAATTCTGTCATGAAACTCTAGATGGTGCAGTCCAATAGGTCTAACTGAATCTGACATAATGACATCATCACATGGTGCTGGCGTTGGAGTTAGGGGGTGTGCCCGAAGCGTCAATCCTTATATGGCACGGAAAACAAATAACTATTCCTAACACCGTGTCTACACCGGACGCGAGCGGTGTGACAAAATACTATAGAACCGCTGATCTATAATAGAGATTCATTATATATAGATTTGTGTATAGAACTCATTATAATCAGTGATGCTGTCTACACTGGATGTGGCGCGACAAATCCCCGACAGCAAACTGCTGCCGCGTTCTATTTATGACGTGCTGACACAAATTTAAAACGATTTTCAACGGTCGCTTTGTCGCATACAGTGTAGATGCGGCGTAGCGCGACACGACAACTATCGCATCCGGTGTAGACATGGTGTAACGGTTGCCTGCTACATTACAGTACATAAAATTTCACTTACCACATAAACAGAGTAAGGAGAGATGAGTGAGAACGATGGCGAATGATTTGCAGATCCTGAGCACCACTGTCAAACATCTAATCTTGTAAAATGTGTGGTAAGTACTGCTGCTCCATAGCATAAACAGAGTATAATATACTGTATACAGGTACATCTCAAAAAATTTGAATATCATGAAAAAGGTCAATATTTTTTGTCACTCATTTCAGAAAGTGAAACCCATGTATTAAATAGATTCATTACACATAGAGTGAAATATTTCAAGCCTTTATTTCTTGAAATTTTGATGATTATGGCTTACAGATAATGAAAACCCAAAATTATGAAAACCCAAAAAAAGGCTACACAATCATGGGGAAGACTGCTGACTTGACAGTTGTCCAGAAGACAGTCATTGACACCCTCCACAAGTAGGGTAAGCCACAAAAGTTAATTGCTGAAGAAGCTGGTTGTTCACAGAGTGCTGTATCCAAGCATATTCATAGAAAGTTGAGTGGAAGGAAAAAGTGTGGTAGGAAAAGGTGCACCAGCAAAAGGGATAACCCGCAGCCTTGAGAGGATTGTCAAGCAAAATCCATTCAAGAATTTGGGGGAGCTTTACAAGGAGTGGACTGAGGCTGGCGTCAGCACATCAAGAGCCACAACGCACAGACGAATCCTAGACATAGGCTACAAATGTCGCATTCCT